TAAAATAGATTACTAGAGAGAGATTACTTTTAAAGGAAAAACAACAAAAATTTGTAGCTGTAAGAGATCTGCTTTTTTAAGTGAAATTTGTTTTATTATGAGTATATCAAAAATATCAACATATAAGGGAGTCAATAGCATATTAAGTAGAGATAAACACCAAGAAGAAATTAGGAAGGACTATAGGCTAAATTAAGGTTGCAGTGATATTACCACTTTATACAAAGTATCCAGATGATGATAGTTCATGGAGAGAGTGCACTTGGGTAAAGATGGGAGAAAGTGGAGTGATGGAGTCAGGTACTCACTTGGGTAAAGATGGGAGAAAGTGGAGTGATGGAGTCAGGTACTCTCTGTCAAGCATCTGGGGCAGCCCAGGGAGACTAGAGTAGAGGACATAGTGGGGAGTTGTGGGAGATGAGATGTAGGTGCTAGATAACAAGGTCTTTAGAGGTTATTTTAAAGACTTCAGATATGAATAAGCTAAGGCCTTTCTTGGCATTTTGACCAAAGTTATAAGGCATTGCCTTATACTTTGATAGGATTTTTCTTGCCACTTTATTGAGGGATGGGTGTGTGATAGGGCAATGAAGGAATTTTTCTATTTACAAAATGTAATTGTTAATTATTTTGACTCATTTACCTTTAATTTTTTTGTTTTTGCTTTTTGAGATAGGTTTTCTCTGTGTAACAGTCCTTACTGCCTAACTCTTCTTTCTAGCTTGAACTCAAAGCGATCCTCCTTCATCTGCCTTCCCAGCTCTGGGTTTAAAGGCATGTGCCACCATGCCTTGTGAGATGGGGTTTCTTTATGTAACTCTGGCTGAGCATGTATTCGCATTCCTGTCTCTGCCTCCTGAGTGCTGGGAGCATGCACCAGCACAGACAACTTTCCTTTGTAAGTCTTTATAAAGTAGTCTTTTTTTCCCTAGACGATTTCTCTGCATCCCTGACTGTCCTTGTAGACCAGGTTGGCCTTGAACTCATTTATTCCTGCCTCTGCTTCCCAGTACCTGGAATTAAAGTCTTGCGTACCCCCACACCCCGCTTAAATTCTCCCCTCTAACATCTGAGCCATCTCTATATTATTAAAGTTAGTTTCTTAACAGTCCTAAAAATAAAAAGAACCTTCACTTCACATAAGAGTTTCTTCTGCTTTCCAGAGTTAGAGATTTTCATAGCCTTTAAGCAGGGCTGTTAATATAAACATCTGTCTAAACCACAAATTCAAGACAGTTCTAGTAAGCATTCTGTAAAGCAGGAACACAGTCTAAAGTGCTGGCACCATTTGTTTTATTTTTCTGAGGAAAATGACTACAGTTACCATTAGATCCTTCAAAGACTGCATTTAATTATTCCACATATTATTCTTACTAGATTTGCTTTTTATAAATGGCTAAAATGTGGTATTGTCAAGTGCTGCAGGAGGGGCATTATTCATGAAGTGTATATTCATCAAGTCATGTTTTAGTTGTTGAATCTAGAAATAAATTTGCACCTAATTTGCCATCATTCTTCTGGGATACATCTTTTATTTTCTCCCTGAAGCAGTAATCTTGTCTTTTAGTTAAGCCTGGAGAGGGTGGGCATAATTGGGAGAAAAGTTAAGACATTTCACCTCTGGAAGATTTCTCTTTATAACAAGTTATGGAAGCAGCCCCAAATGTTCATTGTGATGTGTACAGTGCTGGAACTATTGAGCTGTTAGTTTCTTTTTAAGAATGGCCCGGGGATGCTGCTGGCAGGGGAAGCACCAGTCACTGTATACATCTAGGTTCAGTCCCCAGAACTGCAGAAGGAAAGGAGAGAAGTCTTGTGTAGCGTTAGAAAAGGCCAGGTGTGTAGACAGAAACAAACTGTTCACGGAAGCTGCTTTATTTGCTTTAGTTGTAACGCTGACCTGAATAATATGTATGCTTGTTGTAATTTGATCATGTGAAAATTCCCAGTTCCCCGTTTTTTGACTAGTTCAAGGAAATGGAGGATCAACTTTATACATTTCCAATTGGTTATGACTGAAATTTTACATCAAACTGGTTCACTCAGTTATGTATTCTTTATGTAAATATTTAACTGAAATTTCTGCTGGGCTGGACAGATGGCTTGGTGCTTAGGAACTCTGGCTGTTCTTTGCAGAGGCACCAGGCCCTGTTCCCAGTGCCCCTGTGGAGACTCATGACCATATACAGCTCCAGTTCCATGGGATTGGACACCTTCTCTGGCCTCCATACGCACTAGGCACAGAAGTGGTTGCAAGCAAAACACCTACATACATTTGGAAAAAAAATACTCACATACATTAGAAAAAAATTTTCTACTGTTAATGCTAATGCTTTGCCAATTTGAAGGATTTTCTTTTCCTGTTAATACAAGATATCAGTCTTCATTTTTATATAAGACTTCCTAGTTAAATATATTTTAGCTATGCAAAGACAGTTACATCCACAAAGGTAGCATATTTGATAAGTAATGTGTCAGTGTGCCTGAAGTATCCTACTTGTGATTATTCTAAATCTCTCCATTTGTTCTGTACAGATGCAAAATCGGATGGTGATTTTGCTTTGTAATCTGAAGCCTGCAAAAATGCGGGGAATACTGTCTCAAGCGATGGTGATGTGTGCTAGTTCACCAGAGAAAGTGGAAATTCTGGCCCCTCCCAATGGATCTGTTCCTGGAGACAGAATTACTTTTGATGCTTTCCCTGGTAAGTATTAATAGTCATTTAAATAGATTGGGAATCAGTTTAAAGTGACATTTATAAAGCTTAGAGGTTAAAACCACTCTTATGTGTGTATCAAAAGGTTTTTCATGAAATTCGCTTCTCTAGCAGGAGGTATGTATGACTGCTTCTCTAGCAGTAAATCTGATAAGCAACTGCTATGGAAGCAGACGTTGGTAACTTTTCCAGTACATTCAAAGTCAATCAGGATGATTTATTATTTGAACAATAAAGAATTAAACTGGATGGGATATGGTATACAGTCCATACCCAGGACTTGGAAGGCAGTCATGAGTTTGATATCAGCTTAGGCTAAGGACAAGAATGCCTGCTAGGTGTAGAAAACGTTTATACACGCAAGAGGCAGTTCAGCTAATGTCCTCATCTCAGTAGGAGTGGTCTGGAGGTGAGCAGCCTTCATGCCATAAACGTCCTGGAGGAGAATGCCATAGTGGATGTTTTCTGTACACACTGTCAATATCCACACTTAGAAAACACCCCCATCCCCCATTACAAAGCAAGAACCTCCCATAGAATGTAGAGGATGCCAAATAATATGTGTATAGTAAAAACTGAAACGCTTCCCACCCATCCAACACTTATTAAAGTCTAATTGAGGATAGCTATAAATTTTAGTATTTAAATGTACTAACTGGTCCCTAAAGCCCTCAGTAGAAATAATTTTAAGTCAGTTTTGTAACCAGTAGACAAAGGTCTTGATAGGTTTGCTTTGGTTTTTTTTTTGTTTGTTTGTTTTGTTTTGTTTTTTTGGTTTTTCGAGACAGGGTTTTCCTGTGGCTTTGGAGGCTGTCCTGGAAATCACTTGGTAGACCAGGCTGGTCTCGAACTCACAGTGATCCGCCTGCCTCTGCCTCCCGAGTGCTGGGATTAAAGGCGTGCGCCACTTGCTTTGGTTTTAGATTGACTTGGAATTTTATTTTTCTAAGACTGCATTATTCATGGTCTAATAATAAATGGAAATTTACATATAGATTTTAAATTCAAAGATCATGCTTATTTATAACATTCATAATGACCCTTTGTAGTAAGAAAAATTAATAGCCACAAAGTGTACATTTGGCTTTCAAAATCATTTATTTTTAAGAAATCAAAGCTATCTGTGCTCAATTTCTCTTCTCTGAAGTCCATTTTACTCAGGCTTCCTTCTCTACTAATTCCTCAGTATTGGCTAGGGTTAAGGAGATCCCCCATTACTCAGTAGAACAGCATGGCTGGTTTGCAGGCGTTTCCTAACTCAGCTCGGACACCATGCTCTCTCAGTCCTCTTTCTCTGTTGGGGGCTCTCGAGTGCACTTTGCTAGCTCATCTAGGGGTTCTCACTGAGTACCTCAGACCTTGGTCTCTGGACTTTCCCTTTTCTTCACAGTCTCATTCATTCCTTGGTGACTTCATTCAGTTATGTACCTTGTTGCCTTGTGGACTTCTTTGCTTCCTCAAGGAAGAGTAAATGTTTCAACCTTTTTTAAAGATTCTAGTTTACATGTGTGTGTCTGTGTGCCTCTGTTTGTGACATCTTATTTTTTGATACCTGTAACCAAAAAGGAAAATACTGTCTAGGAAATGGACATCACATAAGAATGAGAATAGACTTCTCTGTAAGATACAGTTTAAGACCCTTGAAGTATGTTTTCTTACATTTTAGTGTGTGTGCACACATGTACAAATGCAATTATGTATGCACTCATACCATGGTGTGCACATGGGCATCAAAGATCTGTTGGTGGTCCATTCTCCTGCACTATGTGGGTTTTGAGAATCAGTCTCTGGTTGCCGGGTGTGAGTTTTACTTGATGAGTCAACAAGATGCCTCAAGGTTTATTTTACTCTCATTTCCAATAGCCTTGTTACCTGTTGACTAGTGCATTATTGAGAGATTTTTGGTAAAGCAAGAAAATGAACACTGAAATTAAGACTTTTTTAGCTATCAGGCTCCAGGGTTCATAATGTAAAAGGTTTTCATTTTACGTTTTTTTTATTTTTGTGGTATGAAAATTTTTCAAAGGATAAGTAAATGTGCCAAGATGCTCTAGACTGTACCCATAAGATCTGTATCTGTTTCCATGAATATTTTGGCTTTTCATTGTGTATAAAAGTTACATTTAGGGGTGGGACTTTATGTTGTAAAGTTTGCACAGGATTATAATCTCAGTACTTAGGAGGCAGCTCTCTGAGTTTAAGGCCATCCTGGTCTACAGAATCAAGTTTCAGGCCAGCCAAGACTATGTGGTGAGATCCTGTTTTAGAAAACTAAAGAAAAAGGTTATGTTTTCACTGTGGGTAGCTTTATTTATAAGAAGGACTACAGCACACTTGAATTAAAAAATATAGTGCTAAAAAATTCTAATGATTGCTGAGCCTTTACATGATACTCTTGTGTGCTGGCATAAGATATCTTACTGTTGGAGGCTTCTGATGATGAGGATAGTGGTTGGCAGAAGTTGACATGGTTGTGAGGGTATGGTGGTGAAGTTCACCACATGATAGACATTTCTGTTTCCATTACTTGTCTCGTGTGTAGATACTAGGAGCTTCTCGCCCAGCAGCTTTGTATGAAATTGGCGTGGTTTGAGTTAATCTTCAGTCTCTACATTTATTCCTTCTCCGGAGTTTGCGGTTTCTTCCTTTACTGACGTCTTGTTTACCTCAGAATTCATCTGTGGGGTTGGAACTCCCTCATCCAAATCTATTTGTTGATGTTTCAGCTCACTCCATTGCATAAGTGTTCTTGTGGCATCTAGAATAGTGAATGCAGGTAATTTTCAGCTTTGCCCAGATCCATCAGAGGAATCACTGCTTGGTGCAGTCATAACCTTATGAAATATATTCTTTTTTTTTCAGTATTATAACTATTTTTCTATCTATTCGAAGCACAGTAACAAAGAATGATACACTTTGGAAATTCAGTGGTACAAGGTACCAAGGTACACTGCCATTAACTTGAGAAACTATACAGCTAAAAAAAAGTAAATAAAAAGAATTTTTTTTCTCCTGTTTCGAACACTGCGTTACATAGTTTTACCTGCCAAAACAGACCATTTACAAATATCTGGTCAATAAACTGCTAACATCCATAAAATGGTAGCTTTCTTACTAAAATGCAAGAATTGAAAAGTGGCATCTAAACAAGAAAAGACAAAATCAAACTGGAATGAAATCGGGTTTTTTTTTTTTTTTTTTTGGCCCTTCATACTCTTCTCTTCCTCTACCATACCCTGCTGGAGTTCCAGGCCCCATTCCTCTAGGATCCTGTCCACCCACAGGACCCGCACCTCCTGCCCAAAGCGCTCAGTATGCGTGTTGCTTCCCATCATGGAACCACTCATGGTTGCTGGTGGAACTTCGGGATTAGCTTCATAACATATGCCACCACCACCTAGAGGTGGAAATTTCTGGCCTCCTGAACCATAGGGATCTCCCATGTTCGTTGTTCCTCCACCACCCATTCTCATGTCTCTTTCTCTTGGATCCATGTAGCCCCTCCTGCTGTAACTTTCTTCTCGCTGGCATCAAGATGAAATGTATTTCTTAAGTAATAAAACTTGAAACTCAAAATAACTCCTTGACCCCTGGGCTGCAGTTTGGGTGCTATGTTAGGTATGAAGAAAACATATCTCCAATTACACTTTGGTGCCTAGATAGGATATTTTCAAAGTAATTATTTTCACTGAACTGTAGTCTCAACAGTTGGGCCTAATATATTCTTTAAGTCTTAACAGTAAACAGATATGGTGTCATCGAGGCAGCATCATTCCATTTGTAGAGTACAAATGGAAAACAGTCAGTGTAATTCTATTGAAAACTCTCTAGTTTTGGAATGGTAGATGAACATTGCCTTTAACTTAAAACACTAGTTTCATTTAAAATCACTAGCTACATTTGCACCCACATAGAGTCAGACTGCCTTTTGAAGCTTTGAAATGTTAATTTTATCTATGAAAGTAGTAAATTACATATTCTAATGTAATAGTTGATCTTCACTGAAAAATCTGTTCATTAATATAACCACCTACATCACTTAACGTTAGCTAGACCTCCTAGATTGACTGCTGTAACTTCTACATCAATTTTTTGTTGCGTCATCTTAAAGTGGACACTAGTGTGTGAATCTGGGCCACTGCTTGATGAACACGTTGTCATGTTGGCAATGTCTTGGTGGAAGGGTGTGAATCTCAGTGCATAGGCTTCACTCGTTCCTCTGCTGTAGCAGTGTTTCCAGTATTTTGTGATTCCCACTTCTTACAAGGTTAACCTTTTAAAGAATGATTTGGAAACAAAAGCATTATAGTTTATAGATCTGAGAAAACACAGTTGCACGTGTTATTAGCTTTCCTCTGCTGCTATTAGTCTCATTACTATCCAATGATCTGAAATGAGAAAGATCTCTCTTTGACTCCAGTCCTTTTTGTCAGCTGTACTTCCATTGCATGGTCTAGTAGAAATGTGGCATTCACTGAACTATTCTGGTATTCAGAAAAATGTGTTGTATTCATGGGCAGAGTTATGCTTTAGTTGTGTTTTTCTTAATTTTTTAGTCACTAAAGAGCTATAAAAAAGAACAGACAGACACTAGAGCCAAAAACATTCTCCTCCATTTTGCTATTTTGCATGCATGTGAAATATGTGTGGAGAGAGAATAAACTATTTCCAGTAATAAGATAGTCTGCTTCCCTGTTAGCAGGTGGAAGAGTTACTTGGTCTGTTACCCATCTTTGCACTTAGAACAGAACAGAGGAACTTCACTCCTTATTTATCTTCTGTTGATTAGAAAGCACACATTGCCACTTACTTAGTCCAGGGACATTTGTTTCTTTTATAAGCCACAGTGTGGCATATCAGGAGACCGGGTGCTGTCCCAGAAGTATTAGACTCTGCTGTCCTATCCTGCCTGTTGCTGGTGTGACTGTAGCTTCTCTCTCCTTCAGTTTCTCAATGTGTCATATTAGAATCAAGATTGCTGTACGCATTTCAGGCAACCGCATGTGTTCCTGGCGTTTAGAAAGTATCCCCTGTATTCTTGTTCTTCATAAACTAAAAGTCCAACCCATCTGAGTGAGCCTATCTTCCCAGATTTTCTTTACATGATGAAATGAATAGCTTACAATTTTCTTTGAATAATTTGGAGGCTGGGGATTTAGCCTAAATGATAATATGCTTGCCTAGCAGTCATAAAGCTTTAGGTTTAATCCCCAGCACTTTAGTAATAACAATAATGATGATAATTTGGAAAATGAGTTATTAACCTATATTATCTGCAGAAATACTTCAAATATATGTTTAGTGTGTCTAAGGAAATGATAATAACCGTTTTTATTTTAACAATCAAGAGTATGCACAACTGATGTAAAATAAGGTGAAATGAAAGACTCTGATTAAAGCTAAGGATCAAGTGCTGTAAGAATACACGAGAACATCTGAATGTGTCTGTGTATTCACATGTCACTCATGTAACTTGCTGGTTTTTCTCCAAACAGGAGAGCCTGACAAGGAGCTAAACCCTAAGAAGAAGATCTGGGAGCAGATCCAACCTGATCTGCACACCAATGCTGAGTGTGTGGCCACATACAAGGGAGTTCCCTTTGAGGTGAAGGGGAAGGGAGTTTGCAGGGCCCAAACCATGGCCAATAGTGGGATTAAATAAGTACTCTGTTACTGAAGGACATGGAAAAACCTTAGTAACAATAAAAAGGAGTATATTTGTCACACATACATAAAATGTGAGTTGCTCTTTTTTGTGTGTGGACTTTTTTTCAAATCTGTTTTCTCAGATATTTTGTCACAGAAGTTTTGGCAACAGAAAATTGATTAACTAATTGTACCCATAACTAGGGTCACTACTATAATTATGTCTGACCATGTGGTTTAGAACTTTTGGAACTGGCTTAAAAGATGTGTTTATGCCACTCAGAGAAAGCCTAAAATAAAAAACACAGAAGACAAAAGAAGGTGCTTCAGCTGGGACCTCAGAAGAGCATTTGTGTGGATCAGAATGCAGACAGTATAGACTGTTAACCAGGTTTCAGACAGGAGTAAGTACTGTTTGGGGGTAGGACTAGAGGCCGTTCTGAGATTTTCTGTAAAGCAAAGTTTAAAGGTGACAGGATGTAATGTGTTGCCTTCCCTGCCATCCGCCTGGGCACTGCCACAGTTGCAGTCCCCAAATAACACACACGACACTGTATTAATTATGAAGCTGTTGACCATTTGCTTGTTTCTTACTGGCTAGCTCTGACTTAAGTATTTAACCCATAATTGTTAATCTAAGTATTTCTCTTACTGGAGAAAAGGGTCCAGACCTCTATACTCTGGTAACCTACATGGTGTCTGCCTGTGTCTCTCTTTCCCAGAATCCTCCTCAACTCCTAGTCCCACCTATCTTGCTTCCCTACTGGCCAACACTGCTTTATTGACATATACACAGTACTTCCCCATCAACAGGCTAATGTGGAGAAATGTTCAGGTCAGCACAGCACTGGGTGAGGCCTATGATAGCTGGTTGGTTTTGCTAGATTGGCAGCAGAAATTATAAACAAAGCTCAACTGCTAAAGTAGAATTTGAAGTTTCTGGTTGACCAGAAAAGAAATCTGGAGTCTTGGAGGGTGTGGCTACTGAAGAGATTCAGACCATTTAAAGATTGCTGAGAAGTAGGAGAGGTTCCTCCTTGAGGGTATCTCTGGAGCTGCTCAGACCACCACCACCGCCACCCCCCCCCCTCCATTGCAGGCTGGAGGATGTGAAGCATTAAACTCTTTAGAAGGCAGTTTGAGAATAGAGCCTCTAGGTGCCTTACTGTACAGGACCCCCTAGGCCAGCAGTTCTTAACCCGTGGGTTAAATATCAGAAACCCTACATAATCTGTTGTTATATTATTCATAACAGCAAAATTACAGTGATAAAGGAGCATTGAAATAATGTTATGTTTGGGGGTTACCACAACTGTATTAAAGCATTAGGAAGGTTGAGAACCACTGACCTAGGCAATTGTTTCTCCCAGAATTTCTCTCACCCTATCCAAGTACTTTGAGACCATTGCAGTCATGCAAGAGGTCCCAGATAACTGATCCTCCTATCAACAGATCTTGGCATTGTCCCTTTGACTCTGATTTTGCAAAGCCCTGACTTTACTGGGACAATCTCTGCTGGTCAGCTGGAGCTAAGGAATTGGAAATTAACACAAGATCAACATCATTGAAGTGAAATTTTCTGGGGATGTTTGAGGTCACCGCTCAGATGAGGTCCACAGGGGCTTATGGCTGCTAGCTAGTAGCTGCATGTGGTGATGTATAAGAGTCACCCAGGTGATACTGGTTTTGAGGGCATGAAAGAGTCATGGAGAACAGCTGAGACTTGGCACTGTGTAGCCTAAAAAGCAGCCAAGGGAGTCGGCTGGTGAGGGAGCAGCCCGACTCACAGTGGAGATGCCAGCATATTGGAAACGGTAGGTGTTGTAACTTTTAAAAAGCAGCACATGAGAAAGATGCCATGTGACAGAGTTCAAGTGGAGGGGTTTTGGGGGGATCATAAAATGGGAAAGGAGGAGGAAGAAGACCAGCTTTCAGAGACAGGAGCAGTGGGGGAGAGGAAAGAGGCAGAAAGAGGTCAGAGGGGGAGGGGAGGGGATAGGGAAGAGGAGGATGGGAGGTGGGCAGGGCGCTTTTATGAGGGAGCATAGTGAATGTGCACAGGTGGTGATCTTAGTGGCTGCCACTAAGGTCATACCCTGTCAGAATCCCAAAGACAGGCCAGTACAGATGCCTCAGTACTAACACTAGCACGGAGACAGCTACCAAGGACAGTAGCAGTTATGGTGTGAAGCCAGCCTTAGCCTAACCCCAGCCCACAAAACAAGCTGTGTGTGCTCAGCTGGAAGGCTGGAGAAGTGCAGCTGCCCAGGTTGTTTGAAGCCAGCGGATCCAAAGTGAGTGGGGTGTCAGGCACTAACTATGCACTGCTGAACTGTGCTTTTACTTTGATTTAATTGTGCCTGTATTCTGCTTCTTCCCTCTTGGAGTAAGAAAGTATACGCCTTAGTTTTGATTTTCTTTTCAGGAGCCCACAGTTGGGACATTTTGGCCTTTGAGATAATTAGATGTTTTATAGGTTTAACTTTTAAGTGTTTGAAATTTTTAAGATCTGTGGGCCTCTTAAGGTTGTGTTTGATATTAATATGAGATGTCGGGATAAACAAATATGGGAGGTGTGATTTGAATGAGAATGATCCCATAGGCTCATATATTTGAATGCTTGGTTCCCAGTAAATGGAATTGTTTGGGAAGGGTTAGGAGGTGTGGCCTTGTCAGAGGAGATGTGTCACTTGGGCTGGGTTTTGATATTTCAAAAGCCCATGCCAGGCCCAGTGTCTGTCTGTCTCCACCTACTACTGCCAACAGAGCAGTTTGTGAAGCACTCAGCGACTGCTCCAGAACCATATCTGTCAGCAACCCCAATAATGGTCATGGAATAACCCTCCGAGACTGTAAGCAAGCCCCCAATTAAATGCCTTCTTTTATAAGTTGCCTTGGTGTCTCTTCACAACGAGACAACAGTAGCTAAGACAGAAGTTGGTACCTGGAGTTGGGCTTCACTGTGACAATGCTTTTGTTTGGAGGACTTTGGGACTTCGGGTTAGAAAAACCTTTGGGAGCTTTAAGTGGAACTTAACGGGCCATCCTTTGGGTAAGAAAGCCCAGCTCAAAAAGTTTCAGAGGGGAACAATGTTGATACTAGCAGTTGGGCTGCAGACCATTCTTGTGATATTTGGACAAAGAATGTGGCTGCATGTTGCCCTTGTCCCAAAAATATGTGCCTAGAGATAAATTAAAATGATTTGGATTAAGGTCATTGGTAGAGGAGATTCCAAGACAGCCTAGGTGTGGCTATCATATGGTTATTAGATCTTAAACATCTACAGTACAAAGGAGCAAGTAGGGCAAATAGAAATAGTAAATGTACAGTCTGAGAAGAAAAGGAACAACAGGCAATGTAATGCTGGAGCCAAGTCCTGTGCTCAAGGGAATAAAAGGTTTAAAGACAGGCCTGATTCAAAACGGAATAAAAGGAGTGGTACCCTCAGGGTGAGACTGTAAGCCTTTCGGTCAGAAGGGAGACAGGATGGATGGAACAGGAGTGGGTCAGGTATTCTGGCACTGGGGAGCCACAAGATACTGAATGTTACACAGCTCAGATGGAAAGGTATCCTGGAACTCGGGAGCCACAGAATATTGTGTGTTACACAGTTCAGGTGGAAAAGTATCCTGGAGCTCAGGAGCCAAGGACCACCACAGGTTGCAGTAAGCTTAACAGTTTACATACAGCCTTGCCTCAGAGAAAGGCTTCTCCGGTGTATCAGCAGGACAAGGTCTTCCAGCTGGGAATGTTCGCCTAGTGTAGCAGTTTTGCTCTGCAAGTTTCTGCAGCTAGGTTGCTACAGTTCAGCTCTGTTCCCGGAGAGTGGAGTGTAACAACTCCACTTTGCCAAGGGAAAGCTTCCGGGGCAAAAGTGTAGCAGCCCTGCTCGCTCTGCTCTGCCCAGGGTCACTGCAAAAGAGAAGGGGTGTTTTGGAAGGAAGCAGTTGGACCAGCCAAGCTGAACATGCATAGGGTTTATGTAGGGATTCTTGAGAGTGGGGCACGTTTTTCTAGGGTAGGGATTGGTCCGATTTCAGTGCTGAGCTCAGATTGGCTAGAGCTCTGCTTGAGGATTGGTTAGTTTTCTGCACAGGATTAAGGTCGGATTTGGCTCTGGTTTCAGGGCCAAAGTGTTTCTTTCTCTGGTCCTTTTTAGCCTTTTGGCTCCAATTTTAGGTCCAGGGTGCATTTCTTTCACTGACTCAGATTCCAGGGACAAAGTGTGTTCCTTTGTTTCAGGGTCAGGGTACATTTCTTTGGTTCTGTTTGCAGGGTCGAAGTGTGTTTCTTTGGCTCTGCTCAAGGTGTGTTTCTTTGACTGGCCTCTTTTCACTACAGAGACCAGTTAAGCTTCCAGTTTATAAAAAGGAATTAAAGGAAAATTTAAGGAGCAAAGGAAACCATCAACAACAGAAAGTTTATGCAGATATAAGTAAAGGAATAGGCCAAGTCCTACCCCAACAAGCAGAAGTTGGCAGCTTTGGCTGGCCAAGTGGTTCCAGCTTTAGGAAGGATATAGGAAAGGGGTTATAGACTAATCTTCCAAGGTTACAAAAGCTGCCAAGGCCAGAGTGTGGCAGGGGAGTGGAGGCCTGGAGAGGCCATTGCATAAAGCTATGAAGGTGAAGCCTGGATTGCCTTGGAGACCCCAAGATGCTGGAGATGTCATTGCCATGGGATACCTGCCAAGGAGAGCTGCTAATAGGACGTGGAATAACCCAGAGAGAGAGAGAGAAGGAGAGAGAGAGAGAGAGAGAGAGAGAGAGAGAGAGAGAGAGAGAGAGAGAGAGAGAGAGAGAGAGGAGAGAGAGAGAGAGAGAGAGAGAGAGAGAGAGAGAGAGAGAGAGAGAGAGAGAGAGAGAGAGAGAGAGAGAGAGAGAGAGAGAGAGAGAGAGAGAGAGAGAGAGAGAGAGAGAGAGAGAGAGAGAGAGAGAGAGAGAGAGAGAGAGAGAGAGAGAGAGAGAGAGAACAGTGGAACTGTTTGAGAAGAGTTAGGAGATGTGGCCTTATTGGAGGAGGTGTGGCATTGTTGGAAGGGGTGGGATTTGAGGATTCAAAAGCCCATGCCAGGCAGTGTCTCTCTCTCTCTGCCTGCTGCTTGGTGATCAGGGTGTAAAACTCCAGCACATGCCTGCTGCCTTCTGCCATAATGGTCATGGATTGACTCTGAAACTATAAGAAGTATACAATTAAATAAATGCCTTTTATAAGTTGCCTTGGTCATGGTGTCTCTCCATAGCAGTAAAACATTAACTAAGACAGAGGGTTATGGTTTAATAGTAATGTATTGCTGGTCTGCTGGCCTGTTTGTTTTTATGTCAGTGTATCACAAGCTCTAGTTAACTGGCAAGAGGAACCTCAATTGAGAAAATGTGTCTGTCTGATTGCCTGAAGGCAAATCTGTAGGGCATTTCTCTATTAATGATTGGAGTAGGACATCCCAGCCATGAGAAGTAAGTCAGTTAGAAACATTCTTCCATGGTCTGTTTCAGTTACAGCCCCCAGGTTCTTGTGAACCTGTCTCAAGGAAAGGTAATGATTTCTCTCCTAAACTTATGTCTTATGGCCCTTTTCTCAGTTTTCTATTAGTTGTATGAAGACTGCCACACACTTGATAGGGGAAAACATTAAGTTTTCTCTCCCCAGTTTGGTAAAACTTAGTAATGTCTGCTTACTAATTTTTTTTGAGTATTCTGTTTTCCAATTTCTTTTGGAAAGTAAGGGAGTGGATTTTGACCCTAAATGACTGATAACAGAGTCACTAGGTTTAAGATGGATGAATGAATAGATAGATGACTGTTAAATAGGAACAGCTCCTTTAGAGTATACCCAATCATAGCTGTCTCTTAGGTGGTAACCTTACATTTTTCGACAGTAAGACGGAAAAAAATCTCTGCAGAGCTGCATGTTCAGGTGCCAGCTGATTGGAACTGGGTGGAACAGCTTGTTTCTTGTACTGTAAAGTTGTGAATGTTCTTGAATAAGTCTTGGCAGTGATGATTTGTAGGAGTTAACTCCAAAAGTATTTGGAAGAAAAACCTGGAACAATGAAATAATTACTGATTTGAAAGCAAGCCATCTGGATTTTCAGAGTGTGAGCTAATTAGGAATATTGTATTTTTCACCCTAATGTATCCCCTTGTTTGTATTTTCTGCTTTTATCCCTAGCTTCTACTCCCCCTCCTCCTGACCCACTCTATTCCCAGTTCTCTAGATCTTGCCTTCATCATCATCATTTACTAGCTGGTGAGCTATTGTCGTTAGCAACAAGAGCAAAACAAGCCTGAGGCTCAGTAATCACGATGAATAATCCTTTTTGATGAGGGTGACTATTCTTCTTGCTCTCCCTTGCTATATAATGCCTACAGAATTGTCCAAATATCAGTTAATGTTTGCTCATCTGCCTTTGGGGCCTTTCTGGCAAGGCCACTCCATACAAAGTGTCACATTTGTTTTTGTAAATTGCCTCATTAGAATATTATACATCCCCATAGAGAAATGTTTTTGATGTATACATCCCCTTAAGATTTTATCCCTAAGATTAAATATTTGGCTGATACTAGTTCATTAAAACCCTCTCAGATTTTCACACCTGGGAAATTTGGAAAGAGCAGAGAAGAGTCATCCAAAATCAACATCACAACTGAATTTCTCTCTTAAAAGACTGATGAAAATGCAAACTAAAAGTCACTTTCAATAAGTTAACAAAAGAATAATTGTGATTGAAATAACTTCTTTCTATAACCTTCATTTGTTATATGAAAAGATACCATTTTCACCCCAAAGAAGCACATATTAAAAACAAAAACATTCGAAGCATGTGAAGTAAAATAAATTCGGAAGTAGCAATCCTGTTATCGGTACCTGGCCATCCTACTTACCAGCTGCCTCTGTTGAAACAAACCAGGGAGGAGATGACTATTGCTAGAAGAGATAGTTTTATTCAAATCCAGATTTGAGTAAATGGAATAGATACCATATGCCTCATAGAAAAGGAATCCCCAGTTTTATGGGGGGGGGGGGGTTGGTGGCCCAGGAAGTCTTTATGCTCCTTAATGGTCTCTATTCTCCAGTGAGAGTTCCCTGAAAGGCAGAAATGGTCTAACTCTTCTCCCCAGTGTTTCAGGATGTACATCCTGCATCCTGATTAATACACTAAAAGGTACAGGAAGGTTGTCCCATTTAAGTGAGAGCACCAAGTGTGAAGGGTTAGTGTGTAAGTAAGTAATGGTGACCGGTGCATCTTCCAGGGCTTTGTTTACTTCCTGTACCTAAGGAAAGCTATTGCTTCCTAATAAGGCTCCTCTCCTTTATAAATTTATTTCATTTTTTCCTCGAGTTTTTAGTTTGTCTTCGTACAGTAATGCTTGAAAATCTTAGCCTTATATGAAAACAAAATATGATCCAAAAGCGTAGGCTGGTAAAAGGAAGCAGTTCTTTAAGACAAAAGACAGGTGTCTATAAACATGCTGTGGGGGACTGGAGAGATGGCTCAGTGGTTAAGAGCACTTGGCTGCTCTTCCAGAGGTCCTAAGTTCAATTCCCAACAACCACATGGTGGCTCACAACTTTCTGTAATTCCAGTCCCAGAGGACCCAGCATCCTCTTCTGGCCTCTGAGGGCACTGCAAGTATGTTGTCCATAAACATACATGCAAGCAAATCATCCAAACATAAAATAGAAATAACATCTCAAAACAAATATATAAAAAACCAGTGTGAAGCAAAGTTTTTGAAAAGAACCTCACCTTCGGCTGACCCTTCTGCAAGGCTGACTAACTCTTAGAATTTGGGTGATGTGAAGAGGTTGGAGTGTTGCAAGTCCAGAGCCAAGTTGGGTCACCTTTAGCCCACTTCAGAACCATTTACTTTTCTCATTAGTACCAGATTTAACATCTGTGTGACCAGTAGTAGGTAAACCCTTTGGAGTATAGGAGCAGATTCATAGTTTGAAACCAACCAATGGTCTAAGGTTGCTTATCAGATGGCTTCTGAGGCCTACAGAAGAGTCTCCCTGCTTTTCTGTGACCCCTACCTGTTGCCTCCACTGTCTTATTGAAAGTGCCCTGATTTATGATATCCTTTGTTCTGTTACCATAAACACATCATCAAACCGTTATCACCTTGGAACATAGCATTTGCAGTATGCAGTCTGTTCCTTGACCATAGTCACTCTTAGTAAGCTCCATGTTGAACATCTCTAAGAGATGCACTTTGAGGAGGAGTAGTAAGTTTTTTCCATCTACAATAGCTTAAAAAGGAAAAAGGTAAAAAACAAAAACCAGGAATCAAGTCAGAGATTATTCCTTGAGGTTTTATATCTAGAAAAATTAACCCAGTAAGTTTTAGAGTCAGTTGGTTTAGAGGGTAATCACTAAGGTCCCCAAAAGGGCACATGCTAATCAGGCTCTGACCCCAGTTGCTCAAAAGCACCCAGTACACTACCCTATGAGCTCAGAATTCCAAGTATACTATCCCATGAATTTCAAAATGTTCAAAGAACAAGACAAAACAGCTACCTACAGAATGGGAAAAGATCTTTACCAACTCCACATCTGACAGAAGGCTGATCGCCAAAGAACTCAAGGAACTAGAAACTACCAAAAAAATGGGGTACAGATCTAAACAGAAAATTTTCAACAGAACAGTCTCGAATGGTGGAAAGACACTTAAGGAAATGCTCAACATCCTTAGTCGTCAGGGAAATGCAAATCAAAACCAGTCTGAGATTTCATCTTACACTGATCACAATGGCTGAGATAAAAAATGTCATATGACAGCTTATGCTCGAGAGGATGTGGAGAAAGGGGAACACTCCTCCATTGCTGGTGGGAGTGCAAACTTGTACAGTTGCTGTGGAAATCAGTATGGTGATTTCTCAGAAAAGTAGGGATCAACCTACCTCAAGACCCTGCAATACCACTCATGGGCATGTACCCCAAAGGAGGCACATTCACACCACAAGGACATTTGCTCAACTATGTTTATAACAACATTATTTGTAATAGTTAGATCTTGGAAACAACCTAGATGCCTCTCAACCGGAGAATGGATAAAGAAAATGTGGTATATTTACACAATGGAGTACTACTCAGTGGTAAGGAACAAAGATGTCCTAAAATTTTCAGGCAAATGATCAGAACTAGAAAAAACCACCCTGAGTGGGGAAACGCAAAACCAGAAAGACAAATATAGTATGTACTCACTCATAAGTGGTTACCAGACATAAAGCAAAAGATACCCAGCCTACAATCCACAACCCCAGAGAAACTAGAACCCTTTTCCAGAAACAGATGGAAGCAGATGCAGAAATCCACAACTAACCAACGGGCCAAGCTCCTGGAGTACAATCAAAGTGTGTGTGGAGGGGTAATAATTTGAACAAAGGGGTCAAGACCATGATGGGGAAACCCACAGAATCAGCTGACCCAAGCTAGTGAGAGATCTGGTCTGACAAATGGGGAACCTGCATAAGACCGAACTAGACTCACTTAATATAGGTGACAATGGTGTGACTGGGACAACATATGAAACCACTGTCAGTGGATCCAAGATCTAACACTAATGCACAAACTGACTTAGTGGAGCCCATTCTAGATGGAGAGATACCTTGCTCAGCCTAGACACAAGGGTGTGGGGGTAGAGAGATGCCTTAATCCTACCTCAACGAGATGATGGGACAGACTTAGGGAAGGCCTTACCCTCGCTGAGGAGCAAATGGGAGGAGGTGGGTGGGGGGAATGGAAGTAGAGGAGAGAGGGGGAACTGGGATTAGAATGTAAAAAAATAAATTGATAATATAAAATCTATATATAAGTAAAAAAATGTTCAAAGAACTTTCCAGTTTAAGATTCAGCAGAAATTTGTGGTTAACCAGAGGAGGCTAGCATACAGACTGGACATCTGAAGAACACAAGTGAAGACTGCAAATAACAGGCTTTAATAGAAAAGGCGGCAGGACACCAAAGGACAGCCATCAGGATGCCATTTATTTTGCCTAGAGCTAATTATTCTTCTCACATGGGTCCCTTGTGAGTTGCAATTATGTGGGCATGTTATTTTCCTACATTCCTTATGCTGATCATTATGAAGACCCAGGGATGCTGTTACATAGTAATACATTTAACGACATCCTTGAGATGTAATATTGACTATGCAGGAATGCATGGTTTGTTGGAGGAGACACTCACTAGAGTCATTGAAGAAGGTGAAGACAAGGGGGAAAGCAGTAAAAATTAGAGTTCCTAGCACTGAGGGGAGTCAAGAGTGGAGGGAAAAAGGAAGAGTCAAATCAACAAAAAAGTTTTATTTGAAAACATAAGGAACGTTAGTATTGTGTATCCTGATAAATAATTTTTAGAAAAGACAATGATAAACTACTAGGGGTGTACATGTTAAGTGATATAAAATGGCTCTTGAACCAAAAGGGGCAGCATACAAGAGGAAGTCTTGAGTTAGTTGTCTCTGTAGAATCCAGTTATATGGGGAAAGAACATCTTAAACCATCTTCTGTGCGTGTATGGCAAAAGAGAAAAGAGGGAGGAGATGAAGGTATCCTGTAGGTGTGAGCTCCACAGGGATGGAGGCACCCTTAGTTGAAGGATTAACTAGTGGGGTATTTCTTGGTTGAACAAACAGTTGTTACTCTGTTATCAAACAATGGTAGGAAATATGTACCTGATTCCTGTTACATGTATGAATTCCAATAGAACTTCCAAAACATCACAGATAAAATAACATTAGCAAATTAGCAAAATTAGAGAAAACAGTGGGAAAAATACAAGAAATAACGGGACCATAAAACAAATAACAAAGGTGATTTGGTAATGGAATGTTATTTGACAAAACACTTGTACACCCAACCTACAAAATAAATTTAGGAAGTGTCAGAATAATCAATCTGATAATATCAGGAAATCTTGTAAAAAAGAAAAATAACCCAGAAAACTTGAACTTTCGGGAATCAAGGAGTGTAGCAAATCAGAGTTTGAGAAATCCTTTGTGTTTCTCATCTGGTGCAAGATAACAATATTGTAAATTATTACATTTCCTTTTTGCTCTTTGTTAACGCTGCTGTGTGTCACACATGCATGAAATGCATACCCATCACTTTCTCTCCACCCCTTCCTTCTACCACCATAAATCCCTTCTTCCCCAAAATTATTTCATCTTGTTCTTTTGATTTTTGCCTTGACAGGATTGAACCAAGGTCCTTGTGCAAGCCAGACAAGTACTCCACTATTAGGTTACATTGCTAGTTTGTCTATGATGTATTTAAAATTGATTAAAGAAATTACAAGTTTCCCAACATTTACAAATTACTGATAACGTGAGAAGTCAAATGCCTATTGTCCTGATTTTATCATTACATATTATATATATAACGTGCATTGAATTCCCATAGTACACTGTAAAGATGTACAAATGTGATTAAATATCCATTATAATTAAGCCATTCTTGTTCCCTGTTACCAAGACAGCAATATGTAAGATAAGGGGAGAGAATTTTAAGGGTGAATCTGACACTACCTATCTTTAGCTGTCTCCCTAATAAGTAGGAGGTTGATGATTTCTTTAATAAACACCATCTGTGCTAGAGTTCAAATAATAGCAAGCATAAAAGTAGCCTTTTGAGAACTGCTTTTGGAGAAAACCAATGAGTTATAATCTCCTTTCTAATGGAAATTACTACAGGCTATTACAGTAAGAAAAATAAAAATATTATTTAACTATATGAAAACAGTTCATGAATTAGTGGTGTTCTGGGAAGATTCATATAGGATCACATGTGAAGGTGATATGATTCTGCCTTGGTGATAGACTTAGCTCTTGATAGCAAGAATTGCTTTCTTTTCAATATCACTGTTATACTAAAGCCACCCTAAGGATCACTCTCAAGTGGCAAATCATCCTGCAGTTTTATAGCAATACAAACCAAAGACTCAGGAGGCACCCCCCTTCTTTAGTCAAGACTGCATTTCTAGTCAGCCATGATAGCTACTGTAGGGATTTGCTGAAGAGCTTGCTCTGAGTTTTCCTTAATGTTTCTAAACCTTCATAGGGCCAGGAGGTCTCCCTAAGGCAGGAAGGATAACACCCAGTCTCTATCACACTCCAATCCATGCAATCGTTGCCATTAACTATGGAGTATGTGTTCCAAAAAAGGAAAAAAACCCTGGTAGGGTTGTACAATTTTCTGTCTCTTGTATCAAGTAAGCAGTGAAGTTAATTTCTTTAAAATGAAGAAAATTTATTCATTTTAACTTGTATTCAAATATAGTGAGGGGCTCATAAGCTACAAGAAACTTTGCTCCATTTTCTTCACAAGGTACATGCCGTATGGAACTGGTTCCAAACCAAGAAATGGCATTATCAAAATCTCTGCAAGCTACTCCCCAGCATCCTTTTGCTTCCCTGATCCCCAATGCTTCTACCTTCAGAGTAGTTAGGTATCATTAGTTTTGACTGTTTCTGACCTTTATATAGATGGAGTCATAAGGCACACTTCATGCCTGGCTTCTTTCTCTCGGCATTGTAGTTAAGCAGTTGCTTTCTATTGCTACAAATAACTGAGTTTGTGCATTTTCATTACTGTAATACCTCACTGTTCATTCCATTAATGAACATTAAGATAGTTTTCAGTTTTTAACTATCATGAATGGTGCCACCATGAATATTCTTGTATATGTATGTTTCTTAATGCACAAATGTACACTTTTGTTGGATAAATACTTATAATTCTGATATCATGAGATTTGCATTAGAAATCTTAAAACCTTGATACTAGTTTTTATTTGCAAATTTCCAAAATGGCTATACAGCAGTACAGGGAATTCACATCCCCAATATTCATGTGAACAAAGGCATATTTTAAAATCTGGCTTATGACCCTAATTGATACCCAGTGCTCTTTTCTTTTCACTTAAGTTTTATGTAAAACTAAGAACTTGATAATGATTGTCTTTTATAAATTCCATAATTCTTTCTAAGATTTTAATTCTTTGTTCATTGCATGGGTTTCCTTTTTCATACAAGAAAGCATACCTCTGCTGAACAGAATTTAGCAGAGTTAACAAGGTATCAGAAGCCTCGTGCAAATATTCATCTTCACTGATCCCTGCTCCTTCTATTTTTTCTGCATGGGTAAAAAGAACAGCAGTGTAATTCTTCCAAGAATCTCCCAGAAGTTCCTGAAAGAGAGAGAAGTTAAATGACTATTTGTCTTGGACTCTATTCCTCAAAAATGAGTAAAGCCATTATTAAAGCCCGGTATCATTAGCCAACAGATACATGTGTCATGATATTTCTGAAAGCTGATATTTGTAATAGGAAGTGGCTATGAGCTCAAGTGTTGTATGCACATCAGGGAAGATTGATACAGTTTCTGAACAACAAAAGGCTTTGGTTTGCTGTTTTACTTTACTGTTATAATTGATAAGCAAAAACTTAACATGGCAGAGCATCTGCTGCATATAGTATGGCCAGGACTCAGTGATCGCTTATACTTACCCCACAGCCAGACCCTTTTGTACCTTGAGCAAGGCAGCTGTTACAGCATCTATTTTCTTTTTTGATGTCATGTTATCACCACTAAAGTATCTACTAAGGGATTAAAATGACATAATCTGGTTATGCTCTATTGATTAACTAGATGACAAGCAATGGAAAAGCTAAGATCAAAATCCATTTGGTGAGTTGGCACAGCTACACAAGATTACTGTAACCCTCATGTTCCTCTTGCCACATGCCTGGAATCAAAGGCAATTTATCAAATGGCTTCTTTGAATGTGCTTGAAAACCACTAAAGACTGCGTCCCTTTGTTTAGTGATATGTGCCGGTTGGTTGTGCAATAAATTCTTGTTTGATTAGTGAAAATTAGCTGATATAAAGCAGAAACCATGGCATGCAGCATATTGCTCATCCAATGCAAAAGGCATCTAGGAAACCATTTAATTTTGAATGTTTCCAAACTTGCATGAAATCATAACCAAGCGACAGTAAGGTAACATTTTCTCCCTTCTATATGTTACCATGACTAAAATATTTACCAGGTTATAACACTTTTTTTTAAAAAATGCAAAATGTCTATGAATGACTATAACAAGAAATAGCAAAGGCTTCTATCTAGAAGAAAGCAAACAAAAATGAGGAACTAGTGGATGTTATTATGATCTGCTTTTTAAACGGGCAATCTCTTTTAGTCTCCATCCTCCTGTCTCTGTCCCCTCTTTCTCTCTTATTTCAGTTTGGCTTGGTGTGGTTTGAGGTTTTTGAGACAGATTCTTACTCTGTTCCCCAAGGCTGACCTCACACATACCAACCCTACTTTTGCCTCCCTAGTGCTGGGGTGGAGGCAGGCACCACCATGCTTTGCCATGTATCACTTTTTGATGCTCAACACAGAGCTTGGCCATTATACTATTGCTATGCCTGTTGTGGTATCAAAAACTGACACACAGAGAGGCTGAAGTCTACATTACTAATGTTTTTCATTGAAACAGCCTGCGAAGCCATGTCTCAATGTATGCACCAGATACATGGTTGGTATTTATGTTGTAGTAACATGAAGGGAAGAGTGGGAGGAAAGAGTAAAGCAACGAGGAAGCAAAGGAAGGAATCAGGACAAGTGATGACAATATGTTTTCATAGCAGGACAATATGAAAACACCTATGAAAGCTCTGAAGCAGGGATTTTAGAGATGTCTGTGGCTTTGAGTACTAATGAAGGATCCTGGGAACAGTCTAGTTTTTATCAGAGCCATTTGTTTATACGTGTGTAACAGAAACTTAGCGGTGACCTCTTGGAAAGCACATTCTGTATCTGCATTGTCGTGCTAGGGTCCCAGAATGCTGTGAACTCTCAGCAATAGCTGCAGTAGATTTTGGATTTGGATCCTCTTGACTGAGTCAAATACCAGACTTAGTTTGGCATTGAGGGTTCAGTTCTAAATTATATTCTCTGGGACACAGTCCTGTACTTCTGAGTTTTATAGCTCACCGTGGTAGATTTCTTACAGTCTGTGCTGCATTCAGAGCAAATCTTTGTGAGCATGAGACTACCTATTTTCTCTTATGTAACAGAATGTGTCTACCTCAGCCACAGAATAACAGCTTCCCCTAAAACATCCTGTACCTCATCAGAATGTGTCTACCTCCACCACAGAGTTACAGGTTCCCGTAACACTTCCTATTTCAAGAAAACATGAGCAGACTTTTGAAGATCAGTATATCAGACAACATGTCTTAACAGTAATAATGCACAAGGATTGCTCAAAGCAATGCTTCAGTTGTCACATTGGCATGTGCTTTTAAATCTCAGTGCATTTCAAAACTCATGTTTGCTCAACCATGAAAAAGCATGACTCTATAAATCTAAGTGTCCATATAATGCCTACAACCTATGGCATGACAAAGATATTTGTAGGACTGTTGTGCTTGCCGTGTATTGTACAGACCTCTGGTAGAGAGGAGACACATGCCTCAATGTGAATGCACATATTAGGGTTGAACTGTGTTCTCCCCTAATTCATATGCCAAGTCCTAATCCCCAGTCCCTCCGTATGTGGCTTTATTTGGAAAAAGTGTCATAAAGATGTGATTAATATAAGGAAAAGTCATTAGGTTAGCTCCTGGTCCAAAATTATTAATACCCTTATAAAACAGGGAAATTTGAACAGAGACACAAATGTGAGGGAAAGGTCATGGACCCTGCAGATAGTCATGGGCAGGAGAAAATAGTCCAGGAGAAGGCCTGGGACACATCATTTGCTCACGGCTCTCAGAAGAGACAAACCTTGCCAATTCTGTGACTTCAGACTTCTGAGCTCAAGAACTAAGAGACCATAAATACCTGCTACTTGCTACAAAGGAATGAACATGGGCCTGCAAGATGGCTCAGGGGATAAAAGTATTTACAGTTTGAGTCTGCATGTCTGAGTAACACCAAAGGCTTACTGGGAGAAAGCTTGTTCTCACCAAGAGAACAGGCTTTTTGGCCTGGGTAGAGACACGCTGTCCCAGCTAGGTCAGGCCAAGGGACCACCCCTTGGAAGGCAGACTCACCTAAGCCATGCTAAAGCAGTAGGTGGAATACGTTTCTCACTCAGTAACACTTTGAGCTCCCCAGCATCTGGGGGCTCTCCTACTCTTTCTCTACAGCATCCCTCCCACCAAGTGGCTGCTTTCCCACCCTGTGTCTGACTTCCACACCAGCTTGAAGGGCGTGGCTTTTTCCTTCCCTCCTCCATACTGCTCCTTGGAATAGGTGCTGAGATTCACAGCTTATCACTCTGGTTTTTAAAAAAAAACTCTAATAAAGATTTCCTTGAACTTTTGCTTGAAGTATTCTTAAATTATATTATTGAGACTAGGAAGAAGAGACCGACCGGGATCTCCCTTGTATCATCAGGCAAACATGAAAGGGCCCCCGAAAGATCCAGTAACATGATGACCTGAGTTAGATCCTTAGAGTCCACACAAAAGCCAGTCCCAGTTGTCCTCTGACCTCCATACGCATGTGGTGGCCTCTGTGCATAGACACATATACACAGCCTGATAATGATGATGATAGCGATAATAAAATATAAAAAGAAGTAATATAATGTAAGAGTAGGGATTGTATGGTATTGGGATTTTATTTTCACTCAGATCCAGCTGTTGATCCTTGATCACACGCATATCTGAACATTTGCCACATTTAGACCCTAAGTGCACCATTCCTGTGCCATACTGATTGTTGTAATGCTAAGATGTTTATGGACATGTTAGTAAGTAACTGGTGTGGTAATCCCTCGAGCACCACCAAAACCACGGTCCTGATGGTTTTTGCTGGTATCTAGACAACACTGGCTGTGAAATATTTCTGAGTTATCATCATAATAAAGGACATGCTGAAAATACTCTTTTGTCCAATACTCCTTTCCAGAGGTATGTATCATAGTATAATTCTTTTCTTACTAAGTTAATCCTTTAAAAAGCCATCGTAACTCTCTTGTTTCCTGGTTTTCTGTAACATGCTCCCCCTCTTTTATTTTCCTTCACATGGTTTCTACACTTCCGAGTTATCTCACTCAGGATAGAGGACTGGAAGCACTGAACACCAGGCCACTCACAAGGCCACATGTTCAGCCACAGGGAAATCTTGAAAGACTCTTTTTTAATGAAAGGATACTTATCTCCTCAACTGTGAGAGAAAATGCACTTTTGAGTTACTGCCCAAACCAGAAAAGTATGGCCGATTTACTTCATAATCTTTAGATTGGTCTTTGGCCAGAAAATAGTTGAACATTTGAATAGTGTCACTTGGTGATAGTCATCATGTCAGTGGCCAACTATGTTCTCTGTGGACTTAGAGAATGAACAATCATAGTTGATTAATGTCTCAAAAGAAATTTAAATGAGTAGGAGTAATTTATCTGGTGTTAATAATTTAAATATAGTACTAAGCTGAATGGAAATGCTACAATCACGGATTGTTTGGTTTCACAGTGCACACGGGTATGAATCCATCTAGTCCTTTTGGGACAGCTAGCTAGAATATAAACTTGTTTTCCAGGAATGGTTCATTTTCTCAGGACCTCACCAGCCCTGCCCCATTTGTTTGTGGTTGATGAAATCATAGCATCTGGACTTTTTAGGGGGAAACTTTAGAAAAAAGCCAACGATTACATCAGCTGAGAAAAAAGTTATCATGGAACAGGAGGATCCTACGTGTGTATGTGTGTGTGTGTGTGTGTGTGTGTGTGTGTGTGTGTGTGTGCGCTATTTCTTTACTCTCATCTTACTTTAAAGTGCCACATTTTCCTTCCCAGATAGGCAAAGTGGAATGACAACACCTCAAGCCAGGATCAGGGAATATTCAACACTAGAGAGCATCTGTTCAAATCGCCTCATTTTAAACATGAGAGTATTGAGGCCTTGTGATGGTAGTGGCTCGATAGAAGTCACATGATCATATAGTCACATGGTCACATTGCTGATTATTGGCAGGACTTATAAAACTGTAAAAAAAAGTTCCCTGATGGTAAGAGCCTTGACTAATAATAACATAAAATAATTCCCACAGCTAAACATTTATGTTGCATTTACATGATAGTGTCTCAGTTAAAAGGATTTACTACTGCCAAGACCATATTGCAATCTAAAAGGAAACCAAGTGAGTAGACACTCTCATCACTTGCTGTTAACCAA